TTTTTTTATCTTTAGTGTGGCAAAGAAACCTGACAATTTTTGGGGGGGACTTCAAACTGGATTTTCAGCAGAGGGCACTCTGCTGTAAAGAAAGTTATTCAGCATTGTAACAGCATCTCAGTGATTAAACAAACACCCTCTTATTTGGGACTATCAAAGAAGATTTGAAATTTCCTTTCTTATTTTAGTCATGGTGATAGACTAAGAGAGATAGAAAAAGGTAAAGTTGGTCTTAAGTCAAGACTGATTGATGACTGCATCTGTGTCTTTTTATAGTTTGCTATTGTCATCTTCCACGATGATTTTGCGTTTCTTTGCTTTACTAGGAGCCCTGGAGCATCTAGATGTCCCTTCAAATCAAAGTAAATCTTTATTATGATCATAGATCAACATAAGGAGGGTGAGGTTCAATCAATTAAAAAGTATAGAACTGTGGTGGCGAACCTATGGCACAGATGCCACAGGTGGCACACAGCCCTTTCTGTGGGCATGCGCGCTGTTGCCCCAGTCCTACGCCTTCAGTGGGGTTTTATAATACCTTTTCGCTTTAGGCCTCTGCCGCCGTGTGCAAAAAAAAAAGGTTCAATCAATCAATTTCAACTTCTCATAGGAAAAAAAAAGATCTCGCAAAGTTGGAATTGATTGATTGAACTTTTTAGTCCCACCCAGTCTGCCGTTACCACTGCAGCCATGCCCACTCAATAGGCCACACCCACCCAATGGGCCACGCCCACCTGGCACCCAACAATACACAAATGTGTTTTGGGTTGCAGTTTGGGCACTCGGTCTCTAAAAGGTTCGCCATCACTGGTATAGAAGATACATCAGAGATTAAAAATGCATGAAAATCTAGAAGATATAAAATATATTGTATGTATTAAAATAGAAAGTAAACAAGAGTCTAAAAGAACTGAAAAGGAGAGGAAAGAGCATTAGATGGTTGTAGGGGAGCATACAAAAGGAAGACTATATCAAATTACAGAGCACTCTAGTATGGTGAATAGGATGCTCATTAAATCTAGTTGATGGCACAGGTCAACATCCAACAAAATTTAAATACTGCTGAATAGAACCTGGCAACATTGTATGTTGTAGTAAGGTTGTTATTTGAAAAAAACAGGGAGGTGTACAATTGCCCTGTGTACCTTGGGTAGTGGCTTATAATTAGCAGGATCATCCTTATTCCCCGGGTGTTAATGCAGGTAAAGAATGAGGCCAGATTGGAAGTTCAGAAGTCCAAGTTGTTTTTAATGGCCTCTGGAAGTATTAGGTCTTCCCCCATAATCTTCCCTGGTCTTAATTGATCAACAGAGTTCTTGATCTCTATCACTGTCACTGATGCCCGCGTTGTCAGATTTTCTACAGTTTAGCCAGGGCATCCATTTTCAATGGAGGTGAAACTCTGTGAAGAGTTTCTGAAAGTATATCTCCCATATCCCGGACACTGGGGGTGAGGAATGTGACAGTCAAACCTGAATGGAACATTCCTTTGGAAGGCTTGATGTGATATGGCAGAATGAAGTTGAGTCATTGGATTTGACTGCCTGAATAAGCTGTGCCCAGATGTTTTTCATGGCTTCCTTTTCCTTGCATGCCAGCAGTTGTTTGTAGTATCTTTTCTGCTGGAGGTGGTATTTGCAGTATCAGATACATAAGCCTATTAATAGTATGAAGTGCTTCTTTTTTGGCAGTAACACAGTCCTTTTCAAACCATGGCTTGGTTGTTGTCTCAAAGGTGCACTGTTAAGATGAGTTTGATCCTGGTAAAGTTCTCTGGTAAGGGGGTTACAATTCTGCAAGAGTAGATTAGGAGATGGCTGATGTCAGGAAAGACTGAAGACACTGTAGGCAATCTGAGGTCACATAGCTCAGTTATCTTTTTGATGGGGGATCCACTTGATTTGGCAGTAGATTCTTCCTGTTGGCATTAGAAAGAGTTGTTGGCAGTCTTCAGTATGTGTTTCTTGAGTGAAGACATTTAACTGGAGCAGGATCGGGAAATGATTGCTGGCAAACTCAAGTATAACTTCTAGGGCCTTAGCATAAGGGAGAAAATCCCTAGAGACAATTATATAGTCAAAGTACTCATTCTGAAGCCAGATAGATAAGTGAATTTAGCTGGATGGTCACTTTCAAAGGCACCATTAAAAATGTGGAGATTTAGCCCAAAGGCTTTTTGACCCAATCAGAGACATGCAAAGTTTGATTTCTGATCTTTTGAACAACAGATGAGGAGAAATTCATTAGCTTCAGGATTGGGAAGGGACATTTGTGGTGTGCATAGAGGGTGTGATCATTGGGCCAAATCTAGCATTGGGCATGACTACAGTATAAAGTCAGCAGCATCAGCACCACAAGTCTCTAATCTAGGATATCTGCTTTACTGAGAACATAATAAGCATTTATTATCAACAGGCATGATGGTTTAATTGATTAACATTGGTATTCATATGGTTTGAATGGGGGGAAGGGTCTTGATATGGCATGTACCAAATGCTATCAGATCTTCAGTACTTTCCATTTTTGAGTAGTTTAAAGATGTTCAGATTTGTAACCAACCCCGCCCCTTTCTTCAAAACAGCCTAAGAAACAGGATGAAAATACCTTGAGTCACTCATCAGCAGAAGAATGTGTATATCTCATATACTGAATAAAGTAGTCATGAAATTAGTAATAAAATTTTACTTGATTTTTATTTTCATAGACTATTGCTAAATTTGAACGTTTGAATTTCTAGTATCTGTTGTATTGCAAGTTGCATCACTGTATTGCATTGTTCATTCAGCCTCTAAATAAATTAATAGTTAATAAACAAGTACCGTTATGTACACTGACCATAAAATAACATATAACAACAGCAACAACAACAATAATAATAATAATAATAATAATAATAGAGTTGGAAGGGATCTTTGAGATCTTTAATCCAACCCCCTGCTCAGGCAGGAAACCCTATACCATTTCAGACAAATGGCTGTCCAGTCTCTTCTTAAAAACTTCCGGTGTTGGAGCATTCACAACTTCTGGAGGCAGTTGTTCCACTGGTTAATTGTTCTAACTGTCAGGAAATTTCTCCTTAGTTCTAGGTTGCTTCCCATCCATTGCTTCTTGTCCTGCCTTCCGGTGCTTTGGAGAATAGCTTGACTCCCTCTTCTTTGTGGCAACCCCTGACATATTGGAACCCAGCTATCATGTCACCCCTAGTCCTTCTTTTCATTAAACTAGACATACCCAATTCCAGCAACCGTTCTTTATATGTTTTAGCCTCCAGTCCCCTAATCATCTTTGTTGCTCTTCTCTGTACAGTACTCTTTCTAGAGTCTCAACACCTTTTTTACATTGTGGTGACCAAAACTTTTACATCACGGTGACCAAACATTTAGAACCTTCTGTGATGTTTTGGAAAACAGACATCTTGATTTGACTCACTTTAGAACAATTTCTTTAGTTTGAATTTGACTGATAACTTTGCATCAAGATCATTCAGGTTAGCTTTCAGTTTAAACATTAATTGCAGGGAAGGAAATGAAACTAGTTTTGCTTAAGTTTGATACATGGACATGAAATGAATAGGCACAATTCATCATTATTTCTGGGGTGGCTGATCATTTCCAACTGAAGATAAAAGTGTGGGAAGAAGGTTGCTGCTTTTAAATTGTGATTGCGGACTATTTTTTCTGAGTGCTGAAGTCACAATATCAGCAGATAATGCATAGAGATTTGTACAAAAACAACACCTAAAAATGTGGGACAGTTTTAGGAATAAAGCAAATACAGCAAAAATAGAGCAAAAATAAAAATCAAACAATAGTCTTATAAATATTTAACACTTTTAAACGACCCTGCTAAGAAGAGGGACTTGTAGAGAGCACAGAAGTATAAATATCATTTCAATGAAGCTTACTCTGCACTATGGTTAGAGACCTGTAGTACAAAGATCCTGTGTGACTAAGAAGATAGATTTGTCAGTCACAAAAGAACATCTCCAATTCTTCCTCCTTCATTTATTCTCACCGATGTTTCCTTTATATTAAAACTTTGGGAAAGTAGTACTGGAAATTATGCAGGCACATTAGCTCTGCTTGCCTTTGATTTTCCAAATTCTTCACAAAATATCAGAATGATCCAGATTCACAGCATGACAATGTAGAATTATTTTTTCTTCACTTTGGCAGAATCTTGAACTATCCAAAGTCTAATGAAGAACTAACCTGATTCCAAAGTATTTCCCTAAGACTCAGCTGTATTATTTGATTTAGATCAAAGTATAAAGCAAGATAAAGTTTTGTTCAAATCAAATTTGTTTCCTCATGGTAAAATAAATGATTTGCCCTTATATTCTTCTGAAATGTGTTTTCAAATAACCTGCAGCTCTGTAATTTCTAATTTCTAGGTGGTCTGCCATTTACATATTAACTAGTTCTGATCCTGGATTCCAATCCCAGATCAATGTACATTGGGTGACTTTGGGACAAATAGGATATCATAATAAAACCTACTCATGAAGGCAGCTGTGAACAGTGAAGTGAATAACCAGGAAACACATGCTACTCAAGAGAAAAAAGGCTTGAGACATACAGTATATTCAATAAGAATATTTAATATGCTCCTATATAATTATACAAGACCATAAAGAAACATATAAAAAGATGGTGTCCATATGGCGCCATATGGCACCATAATTAATTTACAGCAGTGTAATGAGTTCTAAGGTTCCAGTCCAGTCTAATCTCAATTGTATAAGGCGATCCCTGCTGTCTTGTGAGACCTTTTCAATTCTGCAGCTGTTAGAAGAATAAAAACGTTTCACTAACATTTCATGCATCATAGCTGTAGTCTGTGTTTTATAGGACGTAGACTAGTTTTGTAGATGGCATAGAATTTTTGTTTCTGATGACCATATGCTGGATTCATGTGGATGTTCCATAACACAGCTTTTCTAGGGTGTTTTGGCCCATTGATATATAAGCTAATCGTGGATCTTTTCTTTTAAATTGCAGCTCATTACAGCTACCTTGGATGGCAAATTGCAATTGTTTCTACCCTGATAATGATCAGACCTGGCATCTTTGGTTTTCCTGCATCGATAATTAAACTTCTTGAAAGAAAAAAAAAAGATATATAGCTGAGCATGGTAACTGGGCAAGCTGTATAGCATATTTTAATTAAATAGAGTCTTCCAGATTTGTTCTACTATTTGTCAACCAACTGGGATTTGCTTAAAAAAATAATTTTACTGCTGGAAAAGCAGCTTCACAGGTGATACCAAATGAAAGATTTTAAATATTTTGTGTATTTAGATTATTTTTAGCTCAAGAGTTAAATTTCTGTAGTGTATAAATTTCTAATGTGTTTTACTGATATTTTGGGTGGTTGTTTCTATAACCATCCTTTAACCATTCTATAATTTTTTATTATTACACAGATTAAATAAAACTTTTGCTCTTCAGTTGCTTGCTAACACCTAAACCTCAATAATAAAGAAACAGTCTACTCATTCCTTTTGCATCTTGATTTAATTATAGAGACCATCTGATATGTTAAGAATTTCCTTTGGATTTGGAAATGCTAGCAATATTTTAATAGATTTCATGTACCTTTGATTTTATGTGGTCAATAGACACTATTATGCAATGCATTTCTCCTTTTCCTCTAAAAATTCTTTAGTTGTCTAATAATATATGACTCTTTTTAAAAAAGAATCATAGAAAATGCCACTTTCTCAACAAGAGTGTTAAAATATCAGTAAGGATAGGTATTTTTTGCAGGATTTTTAAAAGTTAATGTTTAACTATGCTTAATGTTCTTTCATACAACTGTAAATCTCCTGGAATAAAGTAAAATAAGTTAATAAAGTAAAATAGATAAAAATAATAAATAGTTTCACCATTCTCAGAACTATAAGAATGGAAGCTCAATCAAAATAAAGGCCACTATGATTTAAGACACATTTATTTCACTATTTATACTTTCCATAATATGGAAACAAGTGGTCATTGGATACAAATTCTTCAGTAAATTAGTCAGAAGATTTTTAAATAATATGGTGTGAGTGATCAAAATGTGTTTAGTTAATTGTGGATAATTATAATACTTATGAAATATTTAATTAGATGTAATGTATATTAAAATAAATCCTGCTGATAATAATAAAAAAAGCTTGATGGGATCAATATCCAATATATTATTTTTATAATGGCAAGCAGCAATTTGTTATGCTTACACTAAGAATCCTTATAGATTACATGTTTAAAAGAAATATTCTGCCATATGAGAAGGAATATAGTCTAATATTTGACATGTAGTTACAAAATAAGCCTTTTGGTTCAATCTTCAAAGGCATCCATACTTTTAGCAGTATGATTGCCGAAAGCACAGATGCCTCTGAAAGAGTAGATCACCAGTAGAATATTGCTTGATAGGAATTCTCCTGCTGTTTATAGTGAATTTAAACCTTTATATAATACTTGAATAGGGATAGACCCCCTCCCTTTATGCAGAATAATGGTCTGTAGTGGCATAGGAGAAGGGGTGAAGCTGCTGTAATAATTTCTGCTTCTTCAGCTATGGCCCCATTCCCATTTTTTTAGAATTCTCATTTCTCCTTTTCAATATTATCTGCCTCTTTGTCTCTATTCTGTCTCTCTCTTTGTGTCTAAAGGATAACTCCTTATCTGAAAAGTAATATGAAATATTATATTCCATAAATACAGTACCAATCGAAATGTAAAAGAAGCAGCTGAAGTTGCAGGTTGCTATGCAAAAGGTCCTTAAGTTTGTTGTACAATTTAATGAATCTATTTATCAAAGTCAAATTTCTGTTTTTCCAAACAATGAGTGTAAATTGCTGCATTTGATAGGCTATTCAAGTTGAACTGTCTTATCATTGAGCTAACCGACAAGGTTTCTGCAGTTTTGTATTTAAATTCTTTATGTCATGTTTGTACAGGAGGGAAAATTTGTTTCACTTAAAACTGTGAGTGATGGATCTTCTTCAGTGGATAGATACCATTTACCATCTGTTGGGTGTATTTAACTTTTTTTTGCTGACTGATCAGTATGGCAAAGAGTCAATGCAAATTAGCACTTGACAAAATCCTGTATTGAGGAAATAGCTAGTGCATATAGTAATTACAAGACTAGATGATTTTCATGGAGATCTCTCAAGGCAGTCCAACAATCAAACATCCAATGCTGACACCATAAGAAAACCATTTAAAAATAAAAATGATCAACAGATGAGTAGCTGTTAGTTGAAAGCTAGGCAATCAGATCACAGTCATGTACAATCTAGACATTTCTCATGGCTCATGTATAGTTGTAGCTGTATTTGGACAATCTTACAAGACTTATTACAAGACTAACTGCTGCCCCTCTGTTGATCATTTTTTGTTTTTAAATGGTTTTCTTCTTGTGTCAGTGTTGGATGTTTTGATTATTGGACAGTATGAAATCCCTTATGAAATATACACTGCAAAAAATGCAAACACATAGACACAGGTGCAGACAAATTGATCAGATCAATAGTTTATTTCTGCAATTGTTCAGACTCCAGATGTTTTGGTAATTTTTTAAAATTCTCACATTGAAGAAAATTAATTAAAAAAAAACCTGTTCCAAATTGCTAGATTTCTTTGCCAATGGTCCCACCATCACAATAAATTGTTATTTCTGATTATTCTACTATGTGGCTCTTGTGTCATCATTGCTAATTTTCTACTTCCAAGTTTTCCATTTTAGGTCTACCTCTTATTCGTTATCTAGAAATGTCAAATTATGTTGATGCCATGTGCAAAACCACTTGTATGTACAATATGTACCATGAAGCAAAACTAAAAAACTACTGGTATGTCCAACCTTAAATCAAGGCAAACTTTATTACAGGTTATTGACCCAGATTTCATTTAAAAAAACATAATGCATTTATGTAATACCAGGTACAATGGGATATGACAACAAATCATGATAGAAAGGCCTGTAGTTGCCCAGAGCCTACTTTGCTGTCAACACATTCTGCAGGCCAAAATGTAAACTTTGCAACAGCAAGATTTATCTTGGAATCTTTACTGTATCTGCCAAAAGAAGCTGCATTTTTGTCTGAGATGTGGAAGGTAGACAAAGCCACTTAATAACAATAGAAAAGTACTATGCATGATTGAACCTTATATAATGGCAAACTCAAGGGAAAGTATTTGGTCATCTCAAGTCAATTGAATATATTGCATAACTTATAATTAACTGACAGCGGTATATTTTTCTGAGTCCTGGAATGTTTATTTCTAGCAATGGGTGGCTTGTAGTAAGCACTGTGGTTCTGTAATGAAAGGGATTACAGGGAACGATGAGATAATTTGTATGCTATTCTAATAAATTATTTGTTTTGTGTTTTGTTCCTTTCACAGAATTTATTCAGTGCCACCACTGGTATGCTCTTGACTGATTTTTTAAAAGCATTTAGACAGATGGCTTTCACCACTGGAATTTTGTTTTTTCCTAAAGTCCTATTTCTTGATTCCATCTTTACTGAAAGTCATTGTACTGTTTTAAGACCAACCTAGATGTGAGAGTAGCAGAATGTAGATATGAGCTACCCAGATATAAAATTGGGAGCAAGATGCAATTGTAATTAACTGTGCCACACCTTTTTTCCAGCCTACATGAGATTTGTTGTTGTTGTTGTTAATTGCGAAGTCGTGTCCGACCCATCGCGACCCCATGGACAACGTTCATCCAGGTCTTCCTGTCCTCTACCATCTTCTGGAGTCCATTTAAGTTCACACCTATGCTTCAGTGACTCCATCCAGCCATCTCATTCTCTGTCGTCCCCTTCTTCTATTGCCCTCAATCTTTCTCAGCATTAGGCCCTTCTCCAGTGAATCCTTCCTTCTCATTAGGTGGCCAAAGTATTTGAGTTTCAACTTCAGGATCTGGCCTTCTAAAGAGCAGTCGGGGTTGATCTCTTCTAGGACTGACCGGTTTGAACGCCTTGCAGTCCAGCACCATAGTTCAAAGGCCTCAATTTGGCGCTCAGCCTTTCTTATGGTCCAACTTTCACAGCCATACATTGCAGCTGGAAAAACCATGGCCTGGACTATACACACTTTTATTGGCAGGGTGATGTCTCTGCTTTTTAGTATGCTGTCTAGATTCGCCATAACTTTCCTCCCCAGGAGCAAGCGTCTTTTAATTTCTTGGCTGCAGTCCCCATCTGAGGTGATCTTTGAGCCCAGAAAAATAAATCTGTCACTACCTCCATTTCTTCCCCATCTATTTGCCAGGAATTGAGAGGGCCGGATGCCATGATTTTGGTTTTCTTAATGTTGAATTTCAAGCCAACTTTTGCACTCTCCTTCTTTACCAGCATCAAGAGGCTGTTTAGTTCCTCTTCACTTTCTGCCATTAGAGTGGTATCATCTGCATATCTTAGGTTGTTGATATTTCTCCCCGCAATCTTAATTCCAACTTTTGATTCATCTAGCCCTGACTTTCTCATGATGTGCTCGGCATATAAGTTAAATAGGCAGGGCGACAGTATACAGCCTTGCCGGACTCCTTTTCCAATTTTGAACCAATCAGTGGTTCCGTGTCCAGTTCTCACTGTTGCTTCTTGACCCGCATATAGGTTTCTCAAGAAACAAATGAGATGGTCTGGTACTCCCATCTCTTTAAGAACTTGCCACAATTTGTTGTGATCCACACAATCAAAGGCTTTTGCATAGTCAATGAAGCAGAAGTAGATGTTTTTCTGGAACTCCCTAGCTTTCTCCATGATCCAGCGTATGTTGGCAATTTGATCTCTAGTTCCTCTGCCTCTTCGAAATCCTGCCTGTACTTCTGGTAGTTCTCGATCCACATACTGCTGGAGTCTAGCTTGTAAGATTTTAAGCATAACTTTACTAGCATGTGAAATGAGTGCAATGGTGCAATAGTTTGAACATTCTTTGGCATTGCCTTTCTTTGGAATTGGAATGTAAACTGACCTTTTCCAATCCTGTGGCCACTGTTGAGTTTTCCAAATTTGCTGGCAAATTGAGTGTAGCACTTTTACTGCGTCTTTTAAGATTTTGAATAGCTCAGCTGGAATACTGTCACCTCCACTAGCTTTGTTGTTGCTCAGATTTTCTAAGGCCCATTTCACTTCACATTCTAGGATGTCTGGTTCGAGGTCAGTGACCATCTCATTGTGGTTATCTGGGACGTTAAGCTCATTCTTGTATAGTTCTTCTGTGTAGTTTTGCCATCTCTTCTTAATCTCTTCTGCCTCTGTTAGGTCCCTGCCATTTTGGTCCTTTATCATGCCCATCTTTGCATGAAACGTTCCCTTCATATCTCCAATTTTCTTGAAGAGATCTCTGGTCCTCCCTATTCTGTTGTTTTCTTCTATTTCTTTGCACTGTTCATTTAAGAAGGCATTCTTATCTCTTCTAGCTACTCTCTGGAATTCTGCATTCAATTGGGTGTATCTTTCTCTTTCTCCTTTGCCTTTCGCTTCCCTTCTTTCCTCAGCTATTTGCAGAGCTTCCTCAGACAGCCATTTTGCTTTCTTGCATTTCTTTTTCTTTGGGATGGTTTTAGTTGCTACCTCTTGTACAATGTTGCGAACTTCCATCCATAGTTCTTCAGGCACTCTGTCTATCAGATCTAATTCCTTAAATCTATTTGTCACCTCTACTGTATATTCATCAGGAATATGATTTAGTTCATACCTGAGTGGCCTAGTGCTTTTCCCTACTTTTTTCAATTTAAGCCTAAATTTTGCAACGAGAAGCTCATGATCTGAGCCACAGTCAGCTCCTGGTCTTGTTTTTACTGACTGTATAGAGCTTCTCCATCTTTGGCAGCAGAACACATAGTCAATCTGATTTTTATGTTGACCGTCTGGTGATGTCCATGTGTAGAGCCGTCTCTTGGGTTGTTGGAAAAGAATGTTTGTTATGACCATCATATTCTCTTGACAAAATTCTATCAGCCTGTGCTCTGCTTCATTTTGTACTCAAAGGCCAAACTTGCCTATTATTCCAGTTATCTTTTAGCTTCCTACCTTAGCATTCCAATCCCCCATGATGATAAGGACATCATTTTTTGGTATTAATTCTATAAGGTGCTGTAGGGCTTCATAGAACCGGTCAATTTCATCCTTTTCAGCACCAGTGGTTGGAGCATAGATTTGGACTATTGTGATATTGAATGGTTTGCCTTGGATTTGAATTGAGATCATTCTGTCATTTGGGGATTGTATCCCAGTATTGCTTTTCCTATTCTTTTATTGACTATGAAGGCTACTCCATTTCTTCTGAGGGATTCTTGCCCACAGTAGTATACCTGATGGTCATCTGAGTTAAATTCACCCATTCCTGTCCATTTTAGCTCGCTGATTCCTAAGATGTCGATGTTCAGTCTTGTCATCTCTTTTTTGACTACGTCTAGCTTGCCTTGATTCACGGATCTTACATTCCAAGATTGACGCATAAGTGCCAATACATCTTTCAAGAATCAACAGAGTTCTTATAGTCTTTCCTCTAAGCATTCTTCTCTCTTTGGTTAATGGAGTGATAATGGGGAAGAACCAGAAGCCCCAGTTGTCGATGTGAAGCCCCCATTGTTGGAGAGAAAATGCTTCGGTTTATATACCATTTTTGTTCTTAAACCAGATGTTTGTCCCATAACCTGTACAGTTTATATGCGATTGGGACAGTCAGAATTATACCAAAAGAGAGGGGAATGTCATTTTCATTATGAAAAGTTCATTGAAATTTTTCATTTCAGTTCATCTATGGAAAAGTTCTGTTCCAGTCCTAAATTTAGAAATGATTGTTATGACTTCTTACATCTAGAGCTATTACGGAAAAAGATGGATGGTTGTAGTTCTTCCTGAAACCTATTCTCACTATTTCTATTTCCTGTTTTGTGCTGCTCCAGCCCAAATTTAGATTGATAAGTAAAAGTCTCTAATTCTGCCTTCTAGTGCCATTGTACACATTTTAGCTTGTTAGGCAAGTGAGTGCGAACATGATAATTGTGTCTGAAAGCATGAGGGTTTCTGTGGATTGTAGCTATCTGTGGGCAGCTTAACTTTTGAAAGCAGCTTGTCTACAAGGGGAAAAAAAAACAACCAGTTCAATTTCTGCCAGAATGAAATATGCTTCCATTGCAGCATTTGCATCTTCATCTCTGACCAAAATCATGGTAAATAGTTCAACATAGGAATGTTGTGGCTTAGCTCTCTCAAAAGACAGCAATTTGGAAGTATTTTCTCCATTTGATATTGATGACAACATCAACCACAACAGCAGCAGCAATCGACACCTAGCAAGTTGCTTTAGAGCCAAACCTGGAATTGTGGGACTGAGTTTCCCCAGTTCAGAAATTGTACTCTACAGTATAAATGTAGCTCACTCTCTTCTAAATTAATGCCACAACATACCCCTCTCAGAAATTCTTCTATGTAATAACTTGGGGAAAAATGGCTGAAGGCAGGAGGATCTTTGATGATGCTGTTTTTATCAGCCTTGTGCTTCCTGGTTCTGGGAATGGAAACAGGAAGTGTAATATAGATCAAGCTGTGATCCTAAAGAAGTGATTCTTTAGAATGGCCTTGAAGCATTCGTAAGTTCTTTTTGTCTTCCCTTCTACATTACTGGCTTATTTTTGTCATAGAATGCTCAGAACGGAGTTCCGGCACC